ATTTATTGAACAGGATGGAAGAATTTCATATTTAAAGAACTTTCAGAAGTTTGAATTCTGAATACGACCAGACTTCTCCTTTAAACTATTTATCAGAATACCGGAGGAAACAGGCTAAAAGCTGGTTATATAAAAAAGGTTAGGTAGATGTAATGGAGATTGTTGTGCACCCCCGATAAATGAAAATGTTGCAAATACTTATTTAACATCCAAGTTTCTGTTAAAATTAGAATCAAAATCCCTTACGTTTTCAAAATAGCCCATATTTGTGGCAATGCCTGTTTCTATAAGGAGTTTATGACATTACTCTATACCGTTAATTACTTTCTGTACATTTTGAAATGGTTTAATATTGTCCAATATCAATGTTTATATAAGAACGCCTACTGTATTAAATATCTTACTAAAGTTGTTCCATAAAGTTTTTTTGACTGCCAAAAAGAAAAAGTCTGTAAACTATTAGTGGTCTGCAGACTATAGAGCTGGACATGACAGCAACAATAAGATATTCCTTCAAAAGCTCTTTAATTAAGTGATGCGTCATAAAACTTTACAAGCTGAAACAGTCGTACGACAAGATCTCCCACTTTGAACAACGACACAAATACAACAAAACAACGATAATGAGTAGTTATACAGTTAGCAGAAATGGATCAATGGTTACATTTAAAAAAAAGATTTGCACCACAAATATAAATCATTCAGTGACACCATAATGCATAAAAATATTTCAAACGGAGCACCGAACCGCTGTTCATATGTTCCCATTTCAGTTACTTCTAGAGTTATAAACACAGATCCCAGCTGTGGAGGAAAAGGCTGCAGGGATTGGATGAAATGATATGAAGAAATTATTCATTGCATTTTTATGGTATGTTGCGCTGATTTTGGGTTGCACCATGTTAAAACACATCAACCGCGTGTAATTAAAGTAATGCACATTAAAAGACTACATGTTGACAGTATTTCTAATTCATATTAATAGGAAGCAGGAGGACAAAAGTCTGTAAACAACACGGATGAAAATAATGGATAAACCACCTCAGGCTTAACAGCATGTATTTAATCACAGTCCATTCATAGTAAAAGTCAGTAATAAGTTAAAGTTTGATGCTGTAATAATTGATTGCTCATGATTAATAGTTAAAAATATTAAACTTTTACCTTTCTGTGGATCCATTTAAAAATCCATTTTCATCCTAACTACATAAAAAAATATAAGGACGAATCTAACTTCAAAAATGATTTGATTATAATTTGAAAAACATAAAGTTTGATCCATATATATATATTACTATTTCATATTTGAAGCATGTCGATGGCATGTCTGATCCACCCCCGCTAAGGTGGACAAGACCAGCAGAAGAGTACGAGTATTATTAGTTCATATTTAAATCATTTCAATGGACTTATTATTGTGCCAATTAACTATTTTTATATATTTTAAGTTTTTTTTTTCCAAAATTGTTGGAACTGGTCTTGATTTAAAAAATGGTTTACTGTAGAATCTAGGTTTTTTTCTCTATACCCAACTCTGCAAAATGTCAGAATCATCTACTGTAATTAAACAGTGACTGCTTACAATCTATCTCTAAATTTCCACCCTCTAAAATCTAATTCTTTAAGGATTTAAACAATATATCTCTCAGTTAAACTGTATTGAATAAGCAAACTTGGTTCATCTGATAGTTTTTTTTAAGGAAAAAACTTTCCTAAACCTTGAGTAAAACACCAGTCCAACTCGGTAGGTTTTTGATGTGCTTATTTCTAAACAAACTCTCTTAGACATGAATCACAGTTCCATTTTTGTAAAAGCTTACAACACATTTGGGAAATACAGTAGCCCATGATAAAGACCAATGTAATGTTTAACAGTTAAAGTCTAGTTAGATCACTAGAAATCAGAAAAATAATGAGGTGGATATATAAAGTGTCAAATTAGTGAAGCCTCGTCTGGGATGCTGGTGAAGATTCTCAGCCATCCAGGTCATATTCATTCCAAAAAAGTAAAAAAAACAATCCACTGGACTTTGTTTCCTAGTTTGAAGACGTTTAGCTTCCCATCAAAGAAGCTTTTTCAATTAAAAAAGTCAGGAATAGCGTTGAGTGAGGTTTTATCCAGTAGCCCATCAAAGCCTTGTTTTTGTTTAGAAAACATGCAAATTGAAGCGGACAAACAGGTCCACCCCTTTGGAATGAGGGGTGCTTGGCTCCTTTGTTAGCCTGCAATGCCCCATACCTGTCTATGTCTCTGAAAGGGGGGTTAAATTCCCTTTAATGACAGCACTCAATGCTATTCTGACATTTTGAATTAAAAAAAGCTTCCTGGATGGGAAGCGAAACGTCTTCAAACCTGGTAGGGGATGTTAACAGTTTAACACCTGGTCTGGAAATAAGAGCAGAAATAATTTGATCTAGACGCTTTAGGGAAAACCTTTATCCTATAGACCTTCAGACTAATCAAAATAAGATAGACAGGGGTTTTCATGTTTTGGAACCTGAAAACTTTAATGGACAGTTCCAAAGATGTGATCTACAAATTCATTTGATCACAGTAGAACTTTGATCCTTATACAGTTCCATAAGTTTCATGTCAGGTTATTACTGGGTTTGTCTTTTCTGGTTATGGAGGTCCAGTGTTCTGCAGAATAAAGATGTTTCTCTGCTTTAACAAACCTGAATGTGGGATCTTGCATGTTGAGGAGGCATTTTCAGTCATTTAATTCAGGTGTGGAAGCAAAGACACATCTAGACTATTAAGGACACTGGATAACGAGCACAAGAATTGAGCAACGCTGAGTTACTAACATTGTAGTTAAACCAAGATGGACTTAATGGCAAAAAAAAAGTGTTGATAAGTAGTCACATTAAGCACAAAATACCCCCAAAATAAAACTAATATTTATTTATAATCTGTACAGGAATATGACCGAAAGTTATTTGTGATTGTCTTCTGTTTGCCTATAAATGCCTCACATATAACATCATGCCTAGTTATCATGCCTATGGTAATAAAAACAGCATTGACCACACAAATGTTAGATAGCTTCAAATCATGGAAGGGGTGCTGTGGTAGCCAGCAACTCCCAAATGGAGTGTGCTCAGATGCTCAGTTGCATTGAGATCATGTGAATTTGGAGGCCAAGTTAACACTTAACATTCGTTGTCGAAGTCATTCGGAAATAATGTTTATATAAAAGTGTGAACAAGCTTTGTGTAGGTAGGTGGTACATGTCAAAGTGAGACACAAAGGATCCTCAGAGGGAACATTACCCTTTGACACATTGAGTTCTTTGTCTAATAAAGTGTATTTCCCACTGAAATTAGATTATTGACCCATGTCTTTTAAACATGGGTCCACCAGCTGACAAGCATTTAGCTCCCTTCCCATTGGCAATAAAAAGCTTGGTCTATACTTATGGAAGAAAAACAGTCTCATTGGAATCTGCCTTTTTTTTAACACCGAACTTTAAACACTGAATTTTTTTAACACCGAATTTTAAACACAGAATTTTTTTAGACAATGAATTCCTTACACTCAATTTTTATCTGGTAAAAATTCACCAGAAAAAAATTCAGCTGCAAAAAATTTAGCTGCAAATGTGTTGACCTTTTGGTTAACTCAAGCCAAATCGATCTACACTCGATAGAGTCGAGCAGCTCCAGAAGAAGCGGCCGGCGGCAAACCGGTCGCTGGCCGACATGAAGATGAAAAAACTTTGCCGCCGGCCGCTTCTTCCGGATCAAACCAAGAGCCTTGGCAGACAGGGGTGCCGTACTAGCTGTGATCGGCTCAGTTGTTTAATCCGGTCTGATAGGAGGAAAAACTCTAATAGCTGTCTGTTAGTAGCTGACTGACGTTTTGTAATTCTGTCTCTTTAACAAAAAAGAAAAAAATTCCTCATTCAGCCGGGAACAGCTCTGAGCCCAGCCGTTGTGTCACGTGACCAAATGAGCTAATTTCAATGGCTAGAAGCTGCTCGACTCTATCGAGTGTAGATTGCTTTGGCTTGAGTTCACCAAAAGGTCAACACTTTTTTGGCTGAATTTTTACCGCTGAATTTTTTTTCTGGTGAATTTTTACCAGATAAAAATTGAGTGTAAGGAATTCAAAAAAATTCTGTGTTAAAAAATTCAGTGTTTAAAATTTGGTGTTAAAAAAATTCAGTGTTTAAAATTTGGTGTTAAAAAAATTCAGTGTTTAAAATTCGGTGTTAAAAAAATTCAGTGTTTAAAATTCGGTGTTAAAAAAATTCAGTGTTTAAAATTCTGTGTTAAAAAAATTCAGTGTTTAAAATTTGGTGTTGAAAAAATTCAGTGTTTAAAATTCGGTGTTAAAAAAAGTCAGATTCAATACTCATTGGTAAGCTGCATGAACTATCCCCCCAACTCTGCATATCTCCTGACACCATCACGCTGGGTTAGCGTTGATGTTGTCACCAGTGCGACATAAATCAGGAAGGTAAACAATGGAGAGCAACATGGAAGGAAGCCAAGGTGTAGTCAGTGTGTTTTATAGTTTTGCTCTTTTATCTGTTCGAATCTCTCCCTCACCAGCGCTGCGACATGTTTATTTAATAAGCTGTTTCGGCTTGTTTGGATCAAACACGACTGGCTCTATTGCGTTCAAAGATATCACATCATTTAGCGGGTCAACCCGGTTCTGGTGTTCTCACAGCATGCCGGTCAGAGCCAAGGTGAGTCTCTTGACCCGGGACAGTGAGTTTTTCCCACTGCCACTAGATGCCAGTTGTTCCCGGGATGAAACAGGTTTTTTGGTACTAGAATAACTTGGATTGGACCACAAGAAACAGACTCGTAGTCCTAAAACATCCCAAAGAGGTTTCAGAGACAGTCACCTAACCATATTTATTTGGCCCAATCCAACTTGTTCAAATCCTTATGTGTTCCGCTGCCTCTGAGAAATCAACTTATGGGAAACAGTTCTCTTGATCCTTAATGAAAACTACCCACTATATGGTCCACCACTGGCAAATATGTTAACCAGGTTTAATTATAGTAATCATAATTAGGGCTGAAGGATTTTGCCAAAAATCATAACTTCAATGATTTTTAACCAATATTGCATTAGTGATTTCATTTAGATTTTGCACTATTTACAGACATGTAGATGTATCACTCCAGCTTTTTTTTTCATTTCATTGAAAGTTTGCTTGTCCAGATTTCGTTGTTGGACTTTACTGTAACAATTTTTTGGAAAGTTCTTACTTCTACTTGCATGCATAGACCTGTGGCTCGCTGGATGTTTCCCTTTCATTTTTGTAGCAGCAAACCAGATATAAACACATTCCAGCCACCTAAAGAGTGGGAAAGAGAAAATAATAGATTTCTTAAACTTGTTCATTTTAATGTGACCAAAATTGTGTGCATCTGCAATTTGACAATTGTATTTTGTTAATTTGCCATTATATTGCAAATGTGATTAATTTCCCTTTGTTATAATGACACGTCTGAATGGTTCCAATCTTTCTGATTATTATAAAAATTTCTCACCTACTTTATTGTTGTGGTTGCAAATTATTTCTTTTTTTATTTCAAGTAGAGTTACTCCTCTTAAAGATTAATGTCATCTTCATAAAGAACCTTCTGCAGGACTGTGACATGTTTTAGCATGAAGAGTGTTTTAGCCTCCCTTCTATCTTTAAATTGGTGAAAGTGGAGGTGAAACTGTTTTGTAACTTTACCAGGTTGTCCAGTAAGGCCCCTGGTGGACTCATTTGATCACTACATTGTGAAGATGATCAAATTTGTCCAAAGTGTAAAGGAATAAGAGAGAGTGTAGGTGACCTGAAAGCTTAGTTAATCACCACACGGTTCCAATGTTAAAATGTTAAGTGTTTCTATTTCTTCTTTGTCCATTCTGGGTTTTTTTGGCGAATGTCATATTGTTCTTATGAGACCATCAACAGACGAGGCGAAAAACAACGCAGGTTGTCTGTTTATGTCAAATGACCAACAAGGCAAACCTGCATTGATTTGTTGCCATCATAATTGTAATTTAAAAAGCTTCAGTGACCGCTGTGACCGCTGTTTGTGTGTCTCTTCTGATAGAAGAAATGCTGAACTTGGTTCTGGAGGCGCTCAAAGATGCTGTAACTCTGCTCCTGCTCTTTGTGGGGATTTTTCCTATCTTGACTGTTTATGTGATGGACATGCTTTTGCTCTTCTCCTTGGTTGCCACGGTGCCGAGCACTCGCTGACTGGTGGTAGGTTGCAGCTGTGAGAGACGTAACAAAACATAACACCGTTAATAGGATTAATGACCAGATTAGGGATAAATGATGCAAAGGTTCGGCGCCATCTTGAGATGACTTACGTGTCATGCAGGTGACTTTAGGTGTTTCCCATCTGCCGTTGGAGCCGCAGCGAATAGTTGGAGTGTGTCTCTGGATGAAGCCCTTTTTACAGTGATATCTGACCAGGGAGTTGATCTCATAACGAGCTTTCTTTGCTCCAAACACCTCAGCATGCTTCACCACAGGGGGCTGGTTACAAGCCACTGGAGATCAAGAAACGAAAGAAACAAACTGTCATTACGGCATGCTTAAATTCCCCAATTCTGTCATCAACGACAGACATCTCAACAATAACACAGAACAAAACTAATCGTATTGACAGGGTTTCTAAGGAATCCTTATCAGTTGTACCCATTTGCTTAAAGGTAATGAAATAGCAATGCCTGAGGCCTGTGTTGCAGAGGCATCGAAGGACAGGATGACTCCCCACAGAGGCCGAGTGCCTGAGTGAGCTGGATTTATACGCCAGCGTGGGGCTCTGATAAGGTAAGCCTGTACCAGCACGTACCGTTTGAAACGCATGGTAAAACACTAATGCAAAACTCACAGTTTAACCCAAGAGGGCAGCAATAAGATGCTTTAGAAACAAATATTACGACTAAGAACTCTCACAGCAAAACGTGCCCAGATTATATGAAGGTGCAGTTCAACCTAAAGTATTTGTAAACACTCTATGAATACAAAAAGGACAATACATTTTGTCTAAGTCCAAGCATTTTCAGTGAGCTCTAAGTGCCACAACTTCATATGAGCC